AAGGATTTATACAATATATTTTTATACTTGCTGATTCTCTCCTCGAGAGTCTCTCACAATAAAGATTGATTTTGAAAAAAAAAATACCATGTGTTGTGTTCCTGGAAAATGGTCAGATGCAATTTCCTGTTTGCAGGGGTGTGTTGGCTGCCCATTCAGAATGAACAGGCTGCTTTAATATATTGCATGTTAACATGTTGTGTGAACCTGGTCTTAAGCAAACTTTTACGTTTTTTCAGACTAGATAAAGTAATAGGCACACTGCAGAGCAGTCACCACAAGAGTGTTTGTTCTGATCATTTTGCAGCCATGGGAAAACCTAGCACTCGACAACCTGACACTGTTTGGGGCAGAAATGAGTATGTTTATCCCTGTGCATGTGTGTACAGTTGAATATTTAAAAAATGTAGTTGAAATATAGCTACAGCTTTCTCCAAATTCTTGACACAGGAGATAACAGTTGGTTTCTTTCATTTTTATCCTACTGTGTTACTTTATGTATTATCATCATTTGTAGTATGTGCATTAAGAAATGCTGTACTCAATTATTTGCATATGAAAAGGACATGTTCACATAGGCACAACATTATTGTGGAAATACTTATCAAAATGTGATGTAAATACATTCTATATAGCACCCAGCATTTGTTCAGACTAACACTTTTATTAACCATCTGCCATATTCATATTTATTATCCACATGCCAATTTCTGGGATCAAATTTAAAGATATCTATACAGCAATACAAAGAGTTCCTATTCCTATTCAGATATTGTACCTACAAATGACACCTATTTGGTTTGATATGCCAAAGGCAAATAGGCTGTTCATTTGACAAGGGAATTTAAAATTTAGTAAAATGAGGTGAAGCTCTGCTGGTGACCATCATCCATTCATGTGCAAACATTTTTTTTTTTCCTTGCACGTAGTTGGGTATTCTTTGCAAAGTACATTTTCCACGCATTTACTAAGCTCATGGAAAATTATCTTGCAAAATGAACAGCCTATTTTACCTTTAATAAATTAACCCTTGAAAGACACACTGTCAGATGTATCTATACAAACATGGCTACAAACATTTTGCCATGGATACTATAATACCTATAAATCTACTAAAGTACACTGAGTTAATGAGATGTGTAACGCCTCTATAGAAAGTATAGTTGATTATCCTATCACAAAATTAATCTGTGGCCAGGCAGTTCTACATATCATCATATTCTTAGCAAGCCATAAACCAGCTTCAAAACAAGCTATTATGGTGCCCTCTTGAGCAGAATCTAAAGTAGGTCTTCCTTAGAGTACCTGATGATGGAAAAGGACTCGCAACTTTAATGGACCTTGGAACTCTTCACTGCAGATGGCTCCAGTTTAGTGCTTCTGAAATTGCCCCACCAGAAGTTAGCAGGGACAAGAGACTAGAGCACAGTAAGGATCAGTAAGGGGTCATAGCAGTGATGAGAAGAGCATTATTGGACAGTCTGGGTCAGCAATGAGTAGGCAATAAACTAGGCTGGAGATGAGAGAGTAGTTATGTTCAGACTGGGGTCTTGGCAGGCAGCAAGTAGAGGGTTGTCAGGCTGGCTAGGTTAGCAATGAAAAAGGCAGAAGAAACAGCAAGTTGAGGGATGTGTCAAGCAATTATAGTTCTTTCTCATGGGTAGCTGGTTTGATGACGTAGCAAAGGCTAGTGTTTAAATACCCTCTAGTCCACTTTCAGCATCATTACTGTGTGCTGAAGCACATTGGAAAGCCAGAACTGAACTTTAGGAAAAGTCGCAAGGATATCTTGGGCTGTGGCAATGAAGAGATAGAAAAACAATAACTGCTTGTATCACCTAAATAACCAGTTATATCAAATGTGCAAACTTGTGCACAACAAATATAAACACCATATCAGTTAGTGATATGCAATATAAACAAATATGGTAATTAGTCCCACATATCATAAATCATAAAGTCCCAATAAAGTGCCAAAAAGTGCTTGTGCTTCAGGAAATACAAGTGCTGTCCACTTGATCATATTCTTGTGCCCCACATGGACTTACACTCACCCTTATTCATGACCACCTATCTCTAGTATGGTCATATGTACTTATGGGGTGACCCCTTTTGATGGTGTGGGCGTTCTTCTCTTTCGGGGAGCTTGCAATCCTATGCTGTATTAGCTGGCAGGTTCACTCAGATTCATTATTTGTTGTGCACAAAATAGTACATTTGATATAATTGGTTATTCAGGTGATACATGCAGTTATTGTTTTTCCATATAAGATTTGTGGAACAGTAGCACATTTTTTAAATTGCAGCAATCACTTATACATACAGTTGTGTTCAAAATAATAGCAGTCAGTCAGACATCACTAACCTGATCAATCACTGTTTTTGGTAGAAATGATATTTCTACGTGGCAAATAATTTACTAGCAGGTGTAGTAGAGTAATAGAAATCCAACAGACCCAACAGTCATGACATGCATGCTGCTGATTCTGTGTAATTGAATCACTAATTGAAAGGGGCATGTTCAAAATAATAGCAGTGTGGAGTTCTATTAGTGAGGTCATTCATTCTTTGAAGGTGGCAATTACTGCCCTTATTTAAGGAAGGAAAGCAGAAAATGTTGTACATGCTGGTTACAGTGCATTTCTCTCTGAAATTCTGAGGAAAATGGGTCGTTCCAGACATTGTTCAGAAGAACAGCGAACCTTGATTAAAAAGTTGATTGGAGAGGGGAAAACATATAAAGAAGTGCAGAAAATGATAGGCTGCTCAGATAAAATGATCGCAAATGCTTTAAAATGGCAACCAAAACCTGAAAGACGTGGAAGAAAGCGAAAAACTACCATTTGAATGAATAGAAGAATAGCCAAAATGTCAAGGACTCGGCCAACAATCAGCTCCAGGAAGATCAAAGAAGGTCTAAAGTTACCTGTGAGTACTGTTACAATTAGAAGACGCCTATGTGAAGCCAAGCTATCTGCAAGAAGCCCCCGCAAAGTCCCACTGTTGAAAAAAAGACATGTGCTGAAGAGGCTACAATTTGCCAAAGAGCACAATGACTGGCCTAAAGAGAAATGGCGCAACATTTTGTGGACTGATGAAAGTAAGATTGTTCTTTTTGGGTCTAGTGGCCGGAGACAGTTTGTCAGACGACCCCCAAACACTGAATTTAAGCCACAGTACACTGTGAAGACAGTGAAGCATGGTTGCGCAAGCATCATGATATGGGGATGTTTCTTATACTACGGTGTTGGGCCTATTTATCGCATACCAGGAATCATGGATCAGTTTGAATACATCAGAATACTTGAAGAGGTCATGCTGCCTTATGCTGAAGAGGAAATGCCTTGAAATGGGTGTTCCAACAAGACAACAACCCCAAACACACCAGTAAACGTGCGACATCTTGGTTCCAGACCAACAAGATTGACGTTATGGAGTGGCCAGCCCAATCCCCGGATCTTAATCCAATAGAAAACTTGTGGGGTGACATCAAAAATGCATTTTCTGAGGCAAATCCAAGAAATAGAGAAGAACTGTGGAATGTAGTCCAATCATCCTGGGCTGAAATACCTGTTCACAGGTGCCAGAAGTTGGTTGACTCCATGCAACACAGATTTACAGCAGTTCTCAGAAACAGTGCTTATACAACTAAATATTCATTAAGTGATTCAAAGGAAAGCAAAATCTTCAAACATTTTTCAGTTTATATAGTGAATGTTTGAGTTTGTAAAGAATACAGACACTGCTATTTTTTTGAACAGTCTAATATTCACTTTTCTTCAAATTTTTTAGAGGAACAACACAAATTTGATATAGTTTTCTTCATGTTTTGATTTGGAATAGAATGTGTAGTGTTCCCAATGCATTTGTGTGTATGGAAATAAAAGCTATTAGAAGGATTTTGAGCTTTATTCACTTTTTTTCAACACACACTGCTATTATTTTTTGAACACAACTGTATATATATATACATACATATACAATAAGGTATTTGGGGGAGACACATCTGAAGTGCAGAGATTTTTTATAATAATGCAGAGATAGAGCTGGAACAAGACTGGAAATGAACAATGTCTGGAGAGAGGTGACAAGCACAAGGCTGGAAAAAAGCAATGCCTGAACAAACCTGGGCAGAGCTGTAACAAGCAAGTGGAACAAGACTGGAAGTGTGCAAAGCCTAAACAGAGCTTTAACACAAGCCCTTACTGATCTCAATTAATACAGTCATTTTCAAGCAATTCATCATCAAAGGACAAAAGAGGAGCACTAGAGTTGTCCATTTTGTGTCTGTTTTCACTCTGTGCCCTCTGTGTTTGCTTTAAAGTGGTTGTAAACCTCAGATATGAAATATGAGCAAAGCATATCCCTCTATAGTGTGTGCTTTCCTCAATCCAGAGCACTAAGTGTTATTTATGTCTGCTGCCTTGTTCCTCTGCTATCTGTATTAGTCACTTCTAACACGTTTTTTCTGATACCAAGAGAAAAAAAGGTGACGGAGAGGGAGCTGCAGCACACACCCTCTGTTCTGTTCCTGTATGCTGTGTGAAGGGGGTGTGTCACATCCCTCCAATCAGTTTTGAGCTTCTCTCACTGAGGTCTGCAGAGTGTAAATTCAGCCCCCCGCCCCATACTTTCTGGAAGCTCAGAAAAGCTGTAAAAATTCTGGATCTTAAATGGCTGTAGAGAAGAGAAGACTGCAGATAAAAACAGGAACAACTTGTGTAGGAGGATTTGTTTAATCTCTGTGTATCACCTGAGGCTGGTCACTTTTCACTGGGTATATATAAGGGTTATAAGGGCTACAGCTCTGTACACTGTACAGTGCCTGAATTTACTAGAAAGTGGAGTTACAATTTAACCACCTCCTGCTCGCCATATAGTCCAATGACGGGCGCAAGGTGGTTCTCTCGTTCTGAGAGGACGTCATATGATGACGTCCTCCCATTTTCACCGCGCTTGCGCAGCTCAGGGAGCGCGCAGCTCGGCGATCGGCGGTGCGTTGTGTCCCTCAGACACAGCGGATCACAGATCATGGAAAGAGCCGAAGATGTTGGCTCAGTCATGTGATCAGCTGTGTTCAATCACAGCTGATCACATGTAAACACGGAAATGCCGGTTATCGGCACTTCTCTCTTTTCGAGCTGTCACGCTGACAGCTCGAGAGGAGAGAAGAGTCGGTAATCGGCTTTCCGCGGAGGGGACATGTACACTGATCATCAGGGCACTGATGATCAGTGTAGCCCCAGCAGTGCCACCTGTCAGTGTCCATCAGTGCCTTGTGTCAGTGCTCATCAGTGCCTCGTGCCAGTGCCCATCAGTGCCACATCAATGCCACATATCAGTGCCCATCTGAGCTGCCTTTCAGTGTCATCCATCAGTGCCAGTCAGTGCCACCTTCATTGCTGCCAATCAGTGCCAGTCAGTGCCGCCTATCTGTGTGCATCAGTGCCACCTACCAGTGCCAGTCAGTGCCGCCTAATAGTGTCAGTCAGTGCCGCCTAACAGTGCCATATATCAGTGCCATGTATCAGTGCTGCCTTTCAGTGCCCATCAGTGATGCCTGCCAATGCCCATCAGTGCCACCTACCAGTGCCTCCTCATCAGTGCCCATCAGTGCCACCTATCAGTGTCCATCAGTGCAGCCTATCAGTGCCCATCACTGCAGCCTCATTAGCGCACATCAGTGAAGGAGAAAAATCACTTATTTACAAAATCTCATAACAAAAATTAAGAAAAAATGTTTTTTTTTCAAAATTTTCAGTGGTTTTTGGTTTGTTTAAGAAAAAAATTAAAAACCCAGAGGTGATTAAATACCACCAAAAGAAAGCTCTATCTGTCACAAAAAAAATGATAAAAATGTCATATGGGCAGGAAGGGGGTATAAGTGCCCTGTAGGCTAGTGGTTAAAGTTCTGCAGCTCAACTCTAGTCTGGTAAAGGAATCTGCAAAATAACACAGCACTTTTTTCCATATTGGAAACTGTTTACTTGAAATAATATTTTTTTCATAAACTGTCTTTTGTGACATTTGTGAAGATTTGTTTAGGTGAACCATGGTCAAGCATACTAACAAGCATTTTTTTTTCTATGCTCCAAAACTTCACCTCTTTGGATGTGCTACGTACAGTACATCCAGATAGTGAAGAGTTTAAAAAGAAGGCCTTGGTTCGTGGTGGAGCCAGTGACCACATCTAACAGTGTCAGGACGGTGAGTGGGGAGAGACTAAGAAACATCCGTTCCTCTATCTGCCCTGAAGTAAAGGAAGCCAGAAACACTCAGCTCTGAGTGTTTCCACTTTTAGAACTGTCATTCCCTGGCTGTTGCCTGGAAGTAGCAAATCAAGCATGCTGCTGTGAACTGCTGGGGAGATATTGGGGTCTAATAGATCCCCAATGTCTTCATAAGGAGGACCTGTCACTTGCCCAATGCTATCACATGGGGGGGGGGCTTCTTAGCTACTTGTGGTAGCAATAAACTTAAATGAAGAAAAAAAAACATAACCCTGTCACCCTGCGCACATCCCCCAAATGCGCACACAGACCGTGCTTGTGTATGTAGACTAGGAATACAACACATATGCGAGGTACCATGTGAACGTCGGAGTGAGCACAATAATTCTAGTGCCATAATTCACAGTTAACTACAGACTGAGAAGTGTTGCCTATGGAGAATTTTAGATACCATAGTTTTTCGTGATATCAGGGGCGCACAAAATTTTAAGACTTGACATGTTGGTATCTTTTTACTTTACATACCCATTTCTTTTATACACTGCTCCAAAAAATTAAAGGAAAACTTTTCAATCATGGTATAGCATTAAGTCAATTAAACTCCTCAGTTAAGTAGCATAATGGGTTGTTAAGCAGAGTCAGCTGCTTTGGTGATAATTAAATTAACTACATGTGGGCAACAATGAGACGAGCCCGAAACAGGAATGGTTTTACAGGTGGAGGCCACTGAATTTTTTTTCCCTACTCCTCTTTTCTGACTGTTTTTCACTAGTTTTGCATGCCACTGGTGTGAATGTTTCTGACCAAACAATCAGAAACAGACTTCATGAGGGTGGCTTGAGAGCCCGGCATCCTCTAGTGGGCCCTGTGCTCACTGCACCATAGAGCTTGATTGGTATTTCCCATTGAACACCAGAATTGTCAGGTCCACCACTGGCGTCCTGTGCTTTTCACAGATGAGAGCAGGTTCACCCTGAGCACATGTGACAGACATGAAAGGGTCTGGAGAAGCCATGGAGAACGTTATGCTGCCTGTAACTTCATTCAGCATGACTGTTTTGGTGGTCAGTCAGTGATGGTTCGGGGAGGCATATCCATGGAGGGACGCATAGACCTCTACAGGCTATACAATGGCACCCTGACTGCCATTATGTATTGGGATGAAATCCTTGGACCCATTGTCAGAACCTACGCTGGTGCAGGGGGTCCTGGGTTCCTCCTGGTGCGCGACAATGCCCGGCCTCATGTGGCGAGAGTATGCAGGCAGTTTCTGGAGGATGAAGGAATTGATACCATTGAATGGCCCCCACGCTCGCCTGACCTAAATCCAATAGAACACCTCTGGGATATCATGTTTCAGTCGATCTGACGCCGCCAGGTTGCACCTCAGACTGTTCAGAAGCTCAGTGATGCCCTGGTCCAGATCTGGGAGGAAATACCCCAGGACACCATCCGTCGTCTCATTAGGAGCATTCCCCGACATTGTCAGGCATACATACCAGTACGTGGGGGCCATACAAACTACTGAGTACCATTTTGAGTTGCTGCAATGAAATTTCAGAAAAATGGACTAGCCTGCTGCATCATTTTTTCACTTTGTTTTTCAGGGTGTCTTTGAATTCAGTCCTCTGTAGGTTGATCATTTCAAACGATGGGGCATTCTTATGTTCCTAACACATTACCCAGTCCATATTAGTATAGATATAGATATCCAGCATGATATTTTTCCTCATTGAGATCTGATGTGTTTTCAAACTGTTCCTTTAATTTTTTTGAGTAGTGTATTTTACTAAAGCATTGGGTATATATTGTGTTTGTTTGCTCTAAAATTGTTTCAGTGTATTTTTTACGGAAAACTTTTTCATTATATCGTACGATATAAAAAACTTGCAACTACAATTTTTTTTATTCTACAGGACAGAATAGACAAAAATGCAGATTTTAACATGTATGCAAAAAAAAGTTTTTAAAAATGTGCACGAAAAATGGTTAAAGCGGTATTAAGCCCAAAAGCAAACATTTATTATATTGCAGCTTACTAATTCTTAGATGTGATGGCTGCATTATTTTTTTTTTAGGCTTTCTTTTAATTTATTTTCACCTGGTGGTCCTGCCAGTAAATCTGTTGTTTTTCAACAGAATAAACTATCCTTGTAGCAGTTAAATGGTTGAGATAAACCATTTAACACTGTAAAATATGCTTACAATGATCATCCTTTATTTATTTATTTATTTATTTATGTAAAACCTGTGTCCCAAATGGAAAAAAAAAAACTGTTTCTGTAACTGTTTATAAGGTGTTAGCTGGAGTTTGAATTAAATTTGTTAGTCGAGTCCATCTAAATCTGCTAGTCTAACACTTCCCTCCCCCCATACTGACACTGCTGCCATCCAAAAGTGTCTATGTTGCGCCTTCATCTGCAGTTTAGGCAGAATAAATCAAGAGTTTTGTCACTGGACAGAAAACAAGGGAAAAAAAAGCCTAAAAAAAGAAAACTTATGAAACCACCACATCTAATCTAATGATTGGTAAGCTGCAATATATTGCATTTTTTGTTTTGGGTTTAATACCTCTTTTAGTTAAAAAACAATGCCAATAACTGATTTTGCTGTAATGCAGTTTTTTCATACTTGTGTATATATAATAGGTACATACTTTGTACCTATTATAGTGTATAGTGTAGTGTATCTCAAAAGAAAAATGTAGAACCAGGGAGGACATTTGTTTTTTATATTAATTATAATGGTGAGGTATAGTATGAATAAAATAAGTGTGATCCATATATTATTTGCCTCAAAACAAGCCATGGTGTGTTCAAGGAGAAAACAATTTGTAGCTTTCACAAAAAGTAATTTACTTATGAACTAAAGAAAATCACCTAGCAAGTTGTTCCACAATCTGTAAATTTGAATTTTATGGGTATAATCTCTTGGCAACATAAGAAAAGTGACAAGCTTTACTACTGCAAATTATATATATTGCTCTGAAAAACACTTGAATTATTCAGATCATCAAACAAATTTGAATATTATACAATGACAACTCAAGTAAATACAAAATGCAGTTTTTAAAAGGGAAAAAGACTGTCCAAACCTACCTGGCCCTATGTGAAATAGCAATTGTCACCCCCCATTGCTAAATCATGAATGAACTGTGATTAACCATATAAAGCTGAGTTAAATTTTACTTGCTACACCAGGTCTGATTACTGCCAGACCTGTTGAATCAAGAAATCACTTAAATAGAAATTGTCTGACAAAGTGAAACACACTAAAAGATCTCAAAAGCAACACATTATGCAGCAATCTAAAGAAATGCAAGAACAGATGAGAAACAAAGAAATTGACGTATCAGTCTGGAAAGGGTAACAAAGCCATTTATAAGGCTTTGGGACTCCAGTTAACCATGGTGAGAGCCATTATCCACAAATGGAGAAAACTTGGAACAGTAGTGAACCTTCCCAGGAATGGCAAGTTTACCAAAATCACTCCAAGAGCTAAATGAGGACTCATCCAGAAGGTCATAAAAGAACCCAGAACAACATCTAAAGAACCGCAGGTCTCCCCTGCTTCAGTTAAGGTCAGTGTTCATGATTTAACAATAAGAAAGAGACTGGGCAAAAATGGCATGCATGTAAGAGTTCCAAGGCAAAAGTCCTGAAGGAAAATGTCCGCCCATCAGTTCGTGACCTCAGTCTTAAGTGCACTTGGGTTATGCAGCAAGACAATGATCTGGAACACACCAGAAAGTTCCCCTCTGAATAGCTAGAAAAAAATTAAATTAAGGTTTTGGAGTGGTCTAGCCAAAGTTCGGACTTAAATCCGGTTGACATGCTGTGGCATGACCTTAAATAGGCCGTTCATGTTCGAAAACCCTCCAATGTGGCTGAATTAAAACAATTCTGCAAAGAAGAGTGGGCCAAAATTCCTCCATAGCGAGGTGAAAGACTCATTTTCTTTTATTGCAGTTGATGCCAAGGGTGGAACAACCAGTTATTAGGTTTAGGCGGCAATTACTTTTTCACATAGGGCCTGGTGGACTTGGACAGCATTTGTCCCTTAAAAGATGAAGTCATAATTTAAATTGCATTTTTATATTTATGTATGTGACAAATATGTTTAAAAATAAGAATAGGGGCAAATACTTTTTCACAGTACTGTATATATACTATTTTTCTGTACACTTACATATGTTTGCTTTTTTCTCTTAAAAGTTGTAATAAAAACTATTAAAATGGAAAAAATGTGCTCTATTTGTGTTCAGGCACTTGTACCCAATAATGTACTGTGACCTGAGACACAGTATGATAACTGAATATCTACCACATCAGACATACAGTTGCTTACAGCATTATCCTGATTTTAAAAGCTCTGTTTGAGCTCCTGAGCCTTTTCTTTTACTCATCACTTGCGTTTGTTTGGAACAAGCAGTGCATGTTAGTTGCGGTCATTTGCACTGCTCTATGCACACCAAAAAATCCCATAGTCCCCAGTCCATCTAGAGAGCAAGCAAGAGAGGGAGGCTATTGCAGACCATATACGGGTCGAAAACGGCTGTTTTTTAAAAAAAAACAAAAAACGAAAAATCGTTTAAAAACGATTAAACGGTAAAAAAAAAAATCAGCCGATTTTCATTTCGTCTACGGCTGGCATTTTTACTTCTGTCCCTTGCAGAGAGCTCCGCTATTATATTTTACATGAAAAAGTCTTGCGGTTGCAACAATATTTCCATTTCGGATACAGATGGTTTTATTCGGATACACATAGATACATTGTTGCAACCGCAAGACTTTTCATATAAAATATAATAGCGGACTGGAATTCTTCTTCTTCTTCTTGCAGGTCATGGCTCATGTGCAGATTTTTTATCGGTAAAACGATCGGCCGATTTGCCCATCATTGCCGGGAAAATCGGCCGATCGTCAAAATCGGCCGCACATTTTCCAACTTTACTGATAAAAAAAATGTGCCAAAACCCCGAAAAACAAATGACCAATTAACCCACTAGCGATGCAAAAATCGGCTGATTTTTTTTTTCCGGCCGAAGAATCGGACGATTTTCGACCCGTCTATGGCCTGCATATGTTTCTACATACAGTGGGACCAGGGCCGGTGCTACATTATTTTGCACCCAAGGTAAAACCAGCTACTTGCAACCCCCCCCCCCCAAAAAAAAAAAAAAACTTTTTTTGAAAACAATAGAAACTATTAAATAAATAAACCATAAAACTGCTAAATTTCTTTTAATTTGCAAAAATAAGTGCCATAAGATGACACCAGCACCAATATTAAAGACACAATCAGTGTCACGAACAGGCTGTATCTGTGGCTGGCCGTTGCAGGGTGACAGTTGCAGTGAGTGGAGGATGACGGCTCCACATTCTGACAGATCCCAGGTTGGAATTCCCCAGGCAATGGGGGAAGATAAAACACTGTGACAGCAGGCAGCCCAGCCCACACAGAGAACACCTGAACTAAGCAATCCCATGCAGTGACAAATCTGACACAACACACTTCCACCAACACTAACATAGATCAGCAGGGCCAGCAGGCACTAGAAGAGCAGACTGTGGGATCATGATGGTGCCATCACTCACTGATACATTGCACATGTGATGGATGGCCAGCTTTCCAGGTCACACTCACACAAACACGAGACATCAGAGTCAGATATTACACAGGCGCAGCTCTGCCTCCACTGATGAATGGTAAGAGAAGGGCTGGAACTCCACAGTGAGCAGCAGCGGTCAACCGGCTTGCAGTAAGGGACTGAGTTTGAGAGGAACACTAGAAGGAGCTACAGTTAAGATGCTACACTGGCCCCAGACACCCGGTATCTTCCTCTGTCCTTTTTCCTCATCTCTGCCACACCTCTCCTCAGCTGGAGGATCATTCATGACATGGCGGCATCCCACACAGAGTGATTGCTGGCCTTTGCTGTGCCCAGGTGCCCCTAGGTGGCAGTGCGCCCTAGGCGGCTGGCTGTCTAGTTTGCCTAGTGAAAGCACTGGCCCTGAGTAGGACCATGGAGAAGGAACATAGATACCCCCTAACAGGAAGACAGGACATTGCACCAAAAAAAAAAAGTTTAGAGATTTAAAGGAGGCTGAGAGCTATGAAAGGAACTTTTTGAGTTAGAATACATATTTGAATATCTTTTTTAAAAACAGAGTTTAGTGTCACATTCATTGTTTTTGCCAACATAATTATTATAGTCTGTTTACAGTTGAGGCTTTTTTCGAGTAGGCCCTTTGTCATGCTGGCCATAATGCAACTTCCCTCTGAAGAATATAGTTGGCCAGTGTTAAAGAGGAGTTCTTCCCCCCCCCCCCCCAAAAAAAAAAAAAATAAAGTCAGTAGCTACAGTATACAAATACTGTAGGTATTTACTTTTAATATTAGGGCGCTTACCTGTCCAGGGATTCAGTGGTGCCCTTGCCACGAGTCGATTCTTCAGTCGGCTGTTGGGTGCTGGTGCCACTATCTTGACTAAGAGAAACTGGCAGTGAAGCCTTGCAGCTTCACAGCCAGTTTCCTACTGTGCATGTGCGCATTTTGCTGCGCTTTGTGAATGGGTCGTGGTCCTCTGGCACCTGAAAATGTCCCACAGCGCTGTGGGGGGAAACGTCCAGCTCAGCTCGCCGTGGAGAACTGATCCGGAAGTGGGAGCTAGTACCTATCAAAACCAGGTATCTGCTCTGTGGCAGCAGGGGGCGGAGGCAGGTTAGTGGGTGGAACTCCACTTTAATTATTTCAAATTATTTCATGACACTTGTTCACTTTTGTGGACATAGATGATCACAACAGAGAGCAACAAGACTCCAAATGTGGCACTTTCTTCTATTGGAGCAATGGTAAAGTTTCCTAAAAGTGTCAGAGGAGATAACATTTTCAGGCATATTCTAATGGCCAAAGGGTCTGTCTTGAGATCTAACCGTACACATGCAAGTTTACACTGCCTAAGCATAGCTGTGGAAGAGGGTTGTGGAGAGCAGGAAAGTCAGGTATTCACACAAGATCACTCTGGCTGTTTGTATTGGGGAGTTTTTCTGATAACCACAGATTTGAGTCTTGTAGTCTGATCTGGCCAAAATCGCTCAATGCAAGAGTATTCTAAACAGATAAATGGCTCCTTTCTCTTTGTATTAGTAATGATAACCATGGTTCATTATTCACTATCCTGTATACCCTATGTACACAGATGCTTTAACATCAAAGCCTGCTATGCTGTATGAAAACAAGTACACCTCTTAATCTGTATGCTACATGAGCAAATTGGCCAACTTTGTGTTAATGCCCCTACAGAAAAAAAGGAACCTGATAGATCTCATGAAGGCTAGAATTCTGTAATGCACTAATAGATAGCCTTTATAGCTTCTTCAATTATATTTATCTTTTTTATGCTTTCAAGAAGTTTACCAGGAAGGTAAGGATCTTTTTTGTCGTGAAAAAAGACAACCTCTTAATAAGAATGTTGAGAATTCTGAGTACATTCTGTAATAAGAAGACAAGGCCATGATGGCATGCTCATTTAAAAAGACACCTTATCGCATGTAATTCATACGAGGCAAATATCCCCAAAGCACTCCCCTCATTATCATGAAATTGATTTTTTTTCGCTGTCCTTTGTATTGTTTTTGTCTTTTTATATTTTGGTTAATGTGCTTGGTATGTAGTCTAACTGTCCTTGGTTTGCTGCATGTTTTTTTCAGGTCTGAGCATTGTGTATAGCATATGCAGTTTGCAGCAAAGAATGGTATTATACTTTTTTAGAATTTCCTTCTGGGACATTGGATTTGTCCCTGCATATTATTCACAATGTAATAAAAGTTGTATGTATAATTATTATTTCAAGACATCCCTACCCAAATCATGTATAAAATGTCCAAATTTAATATCTACAAAATGCATCTACTGTATCTACCTTTCAAAGACAGAAGTTACAGGTCAAGCTCCTAGATATAGTACTATAAGTTCCTAATTTCTACATTTTTACAGGATGATGTTAATGAAATGTTGTTATTCCACAGGCATCACAAGGAGGAGGACACAGGACTTTACTCTACGGCCATGCCATCTTACTTAGACATTCATTTAGTGGAATGGTACGTAGCCTTTTTTTATTACTGAATTAGCAGAACTTTACTTGTTTTAATTTCATTACTGTATGTCTATTGTACAGTATCATTTAGGTATGTACATACTGTATGTTCATTCAGTCTCATGGTGCTTTTTAATGCACAAACAAAATGCAAATACATCTTTCTTATGTAAACTACTAATCCCAGGAAACACTATGTCAGGGGTCTCCAGATTTTATAAACAAAGGGCCAATTTATGGTCCTGCAGACTTTAGGGGGACCAGACTGTGGCCATTGTGAGTAATAAAGGTCCTTACATCAGTGGGGAAAAATGCCCCATCTTTGGTGTCAGTGGGAGGAATATTACCTCTTCATTGGTGTCAATGGGAGGAATTGTGCCCCATAGTTGCTATCAATGGATGAAATAGTGCTCCAAGGGCCAGATGAAAGCAAACAAAGGGCTGCATCTGGTCCCTGGGCTGCAGTTTGGGGACCACTGCACTGTAATGATGATGAGCAAAGGCAGACATATTAGTAGTCTAGCATGTGTGGCAACCATGAATGCAGTGCAGTATCTATGAAGAAAGCCATGGTTGCCACATAGGCTGGACTTCTAATATCATGCTAGCCACCCAGGGACAAGAAGTGTGTTATTTAAGGAGAAAAAGTCTAAAGACAGAAAACTAATGCAGCCACCAAAAGGACAGGTAAAGTTGCAATATATTACATTTGTTTTTGGGTTTGAATATGCTTTAACCTCTTGCCGTCCGCCTGCTGTTTATAAACGGCAGGGCGGTGGCAGTCCAGGGTCGGGTTGTCGTTCATAAACGGCACCCGCCTTTTCTAGCTGTGCGCGCTCCCTGGGAGCGCGCACCACCGCGATCCGGTGCCCGCTGTGTCCTCCGGACACAGTGAAACACCGATCGTCGGACGGGACCTCTGTACGAGGTCCCGATCATGTGATCACTGATTGGCGAATCAGTGATCACATGCAAAGTAGTAAGCAAGATGTCACTTGTGACATCATTGCTTACTATGTGTGAAATCTGTGAATGATCACAGAGGTCACATGGTACAAGGCTATTCACAACAGCCTTGTACCATGTGACAAGCTGTGACCACTCACAGCTCACTCAGTAATTCTCAATGACTGCAAGAATGCAGACAGAGAGAAAGAGAAATGATTGCTTTTACATCCTATATGGGTGTAAAAGCAATCAGTGTAAAAAAAAAAAAAATCTTCATCACCCTCCACAAGTAGTACAGTGTCACCATGGTGAGTGTACTGCTAGGGTGACAGTATGTAAAAATAAAAATAAAAAATAATAATATAAAAAAATAAAATAAAATGTAAAAAAAAAATGTTTAAAAATTATAATTTTTGGTTATAAACTAATTTGGATTTTTTTTTTTTACTAAAAAAAAAATAACGGAATAAATTTTGGCTAAGATTTATGATGAAATATTATTTATTTGCAAAATTTATTTAAAAAAACACTTTTTTTCAAAATTTTTGAACATTTTCATTTACATAGTAAAAAAAAATAAAAATCCCAGCGGTGAATAAATACCACCAAAATAAAGCTTTATCTGTCTCAAAAAAATGGTAAAAAATTCATATGGGTACAGTATTGCATGACCGCGCAATTGTCATTCAAAGTGTGATAGCGCTGAAAGCTAAAAATTGCCCTGGACAGGAAGGGGTAAAAGTGTCCGGACAGGAAGTGGTTAATAAAGTTTTTAAAGTTAAAATATCTGTACAATATGTTTAATTTATACAATCATATAGCAAATAATAAAAAGAAAATGTGTTTTAAATAGATATTGTCAACGCGCTGGGGTTTATTTACTAAAGCTGGTTCACTCAGAATATTGTGCACCTGTGCATGGTAGCCAATCAGCTTCTAACCTCAGCTTGTTCAATTAAGCTTTAGCAATAAAACCTGTAAGCTGATTCCTTTCTATGCAGAAGTACACTTGATTCTGAATGAACCAGCTTTAGTAAATAAACCCCACTGTTTCTTTCTTTCTCAAAACATGTCATATACTATGTGAAAAGATATGATTTGAAGTAATTTGACATTTAAGCAAATGTACATTTATTTTATTTTTTTGAAGTGACAGTTTTGTTAACTGTTTGAAACGCTCTTAGCCTTAGGGCATCTCAAAAACAGTTTATTATATAAACACATTTGTTACTATATTACATGTTGATGCACCTGATAACAGTACTAACAGTACTATTAATTTTATCTTCAATATTTTACATTTTAACAGTACTTGACATGCTTGACTACATCCAGATCTCTCACAGACAAACTTGCATTTGATGTTGGACTGCAGGACACAGCAACAGGTATGATATTTTTTTTTTATTTTCTTTTTCTATATTCATTCAATTAATTTTTTAAGCATTCTTTCTTAACACACAATCACCTTTGCTTTATTCCTCTGCTGTTTCATTTAGTCACCAATAACAAGCAAAAATATCTGGTATTTCTAGCTATGCAGGGACATCTAATTTTCTGCCCTTCCTTTCATGTCACATTGCTGGTTTTTGGTGATAGGCCCAGTGCTGTCACATGGAAGCTGGGAGATAATCTTCAGCTTTGTAAGCTCTGATTAGAATGACTTGGAGTTTACACAGGCCTCTTTTCCTTGTTGCCAGTGGCTGAAGTAGGGTATCCAGGTGGGGATATTGACATAAATCATTGTTTTGCCGTACATGGGCAAACAAAATGAAAATTGTAACAAGTACTTAATTTTCCTTTTCTGGTACCAATGCTTGGCAGCATAAATGTGGTAGTATCCCCGCCTACTGGCATCTACAAGACAAGTGCAAAGCTATAATTGATACAATTTTCCAACTTCCTAGTGCCAACCTGGCAGCATACATGTGGTAGACCAGTAACTAGCTACCAGGGTGGGAAGCTCAAGCAAATCCTATCTTATGTGAAAGCATAAAAAGGAGGTCAATGCTAAAGAAATAAAAAGAAATGGACTGTTTGAATAGTTAAATATACAATACTCGAACCAACAAAGAAAATAATGCAGCACGTCTAAATATAGAATATTACAAGCTTAAAGCATGTGCTAAACATGACATTCATAATGTGCATACAGCTTCCACAATACTCAAAAATGAAAAATAAATCAGTGTAAATAAAGTCTAATGCAAAAAATATGTGATAAATATCTCCGCAAAGAAAGTGTCTTCCACCAACGAATGGAAATCCTCTCCACTGCACGTGAGCAACAGAGCTAAAATGCACTCACCGACATTAAAGCTGCCAGAGGACAGCAGCAACAAAGAACTTACAAGGAAAGCCGCCAGTTCCAGACATGGAAGTGGTGGCTACACGTCAGTGTGTAGCTCCTGCCCCAACCGGTTTCATGCGAGTGCATGTAAATCCTATCTTATAAAAAAGTTTCCAGCCAAAATCATCTGTAGTGGGGACTACTGTGCTCGTTATTAGTGCTGAAGGAGACCTCCATAACAGGACCCCTTTGGCTGCCCTGCCTATCATGTCTGTTGATGACTCTGTGTAAGGTGCCCATGATGTTCAAATGCTACTAATTGAGTGTGCAGCAATTACTTATGGTGGCTCCAGCCCAGCCTTCTAGTGGGCTCTTTGAATTATCTTTAGGAATCACAGGGTCAATGTGAGTTGATGCCTTCTATACTTCTTGGCAAGGTATAGCTGTTTTGTGTACCTAAGTGACTGTTGCTTGCAAGTGTGCTATCTTTGATCTGGATGTATTGAGAGTATATTAACCACATGCCGACCGCAGATAGCTGAATGGCAGCTTCACTGCAGCCGGCCAGTTCTGGGAAGGCGTCATATGACATCCTCCCACAACCCTCTCTCCTGCACACCCCTGGGGGTGCGCACCTGGCGATCTCCATGATCGCTGTGTCCTACAGACACAGCTGATCACGTGATGTGGTAAAAGGCCAATCACAGCGGCCTTTTACCACGTGATCAGCCGTGTCCAATGACACACTGATCACCGGGAAATGCAATTGCCGGTTATGGGCTGCACTTTCCTCGCGCTGTCACAGCGTGAGTAAAGTACTGCCGAGAGCCAACTGTTGTCAGAGGAGGGATCGGCACCAATCATCTGATAATCTGTGCCCAGCAGTGCCACCCACCAGTGCTGCCCACAAGTGCCAATCAGTGCCACCCACCTGCACCCATCAGTGCCCAGCAGTGCCACCCACCTGTGCCCACTAGTGCCCATCAGTGCAGCCCAGCAGTGCCACCAATCAGTGCCGCCCAGCAGTGCCACTCATCAGTGCCCAGCAGCGCCACCAGTCAGTGCCCATCTGTGTCGCCTACCAGTGCCAGCTCATCAGTGTCGCCTATCAGTGCCCATCTCTGCCGCCTATCAACGCTCATCAGTGCAGCTTCATTAGTGCACATCAGTGAAGGAGAAAAAATCCCTGTTTTTATTATTTTATATAATTTTATAATAGAAACAAAGAAAATCTTTTTTTTTTTTCAAATTTGTTGCTCTTTTTTTGCTCATAGCGCAAAAAATAAAACACCCAGCGGCTAGTAATTACCAACAAAAGAAAGCTCTATTTGTGTGAAAAAAATGATCAACATTTCATACGGGTACAATGTTGCATGACCACACAATTGTCATTCAAAGTGCGACAGCGCTGAAGCTGAAAATTGGCCTGGTCAGGAAGGGGGTATAAGTGCCCGTTAGGCAAGTGGTTAAACCCAAGGATGATCAAAACCAATCCCACTATGAGTTAGACAAACAGCAAACAAATGCCCATAGGCCAGTAATACAATGACAACAGCAAAGCTGTAATCTGCCTTCAGTTAACAGAGCCAGAAGCTGGCTTCAAAGGAGGCTGAATGCCCACCTGGCAGAACACAGGAGAAATTGAAGATAAAAGTTCAAAGTGGCAACCTTGCAGAAGTGAGAAACAGTCGTCTAAAGCCAAAAGCTCAGGAAACACTCATAGATTTAGTAGAGTGCATCCTTTCAGGAAGGATGGAACCTGAACACAAGACCATGGGGTTGGATGATGGTCTGCTGAGTCAACGTGATGGAACTGGATCATCAGTACAAGGCTTATCTTGAAAAACAAAAAGAAATAGCCGGTCTGAAGGAAGTAGAGGCTGAGAGAGAGACTTTCCATCTTGACCACATCCAGTCAATAGAAGAAAACCTCCTATTGGGGAAACTGGAGGCAGATGGGCTAAGGATGTCCTGTTTGGGGAGACAGATAGAAAATACCCCAGGCAAGATGAAAAACTGGGTCTTAGCACAAACTTCCCTAATGCAAAAACCAAGAAGAGTTCAGATTCCACCGAGTCACATGCGCAGCAACGCTGAGAGTCCTAATAGTGCCGAAAGCCAAATGCTGACCCAGGCCCACTTCATGACAGGACTTGTCCCTCAAAGAAAATTCCAGGGGAGAAGTCCTGAGGTCTATACCAAGGAAATCATGAACTGCATGTCCATTGATAGATTTTACAAGAAGTAGATCTCACAGCTTAGCATCAAGGGATTCCTACACTCCATTATGCTTCCTCTCTCAGAACTTGAACTTGTCTTGATCAGGCTGTTCAAGGCAGCAGCCATGAAGCTGGAAGGTAAAACATTCCTTGGGAACAGAAGATCCTGATCCAGTAGATCCCTGGAAGCAATTGTCTGGCGTTCTTTTAGGTTGGCATGCCACTAATGTCTGGGCCAGCCTGGAATAGTGAGGAACATCAGAATGCTGTCCATCACAAACCTGTGAGACAAATGAGGAAAGAAATAGTTCAGGGGACAAAACTGCCTCCACCTTCATGGACTTGTCTGCTTGAATTGGATTGTATAAACTTACATTAAGGAGGTCTAATTCTTCAGAGACAGTCCAACCACCCAAAATTTCTGAATGTTACTTGGACAACAAGGTTGTTCAGGTCTCCTCCAACCGACTGACTGGTATTCATAAGGAAATTTTTTAAACAGCAGAAAAGGAGGACTCCCTCACTCCAGAGCCTGATTCCTGAGCCTTAGTGTGATAGTCTAATCACCTGTTCAAAGACCATATCAACTTGTCCTTTGAAGGGGGAATGCCATCATGTAAAGGTTTGGGATGAAATTAGGTCAAAGGAATTGTCTCACAAGAGGTTACCCTCAGATCTAGGACTTTCATACAAACGTAGAGATTAAGATGACTCCTAGTACGGAGACCAGAGTGTGTCAAGTTATCAATGAGAAAAAGCACTCTGTTCTGAGCTGAATGCAGGATCATTCAGATATTTCGATGGTCCCAGATATGATCTGATGACGTTTCTGGACCCAAATTGCTGGAGTATGCAGCGGTTAAGTCCAGGTTGCTCACTGAAGCCCACGCAAAAAGCGGTTTTCTAAGGATCCCACTTTGAGAATGTTTCAGGATTGCAATAAAGCTAGTACTGAGCCCAGCATCCTGACTAATACCCATGGTTCTGATGTGAAGCTAAGGGGCAGGACCTTAGATAGTAGGTAGTGCATGGGCACTATGAAAAGGCACATGAATTGCTGGTCAGCTGAAGAGAGATAGGACCATTCATTATTTTTGATTCCCATAAAGCCAGAAATTCTTCCAAGTGAAGGGAAAGAATTGAAGATTTTGTATATTCTTATGCAAAACATGTACCCGAGCCCAGCTCCTAGAACTTCAAGATGTATAACAGGCTAATATCTTCCATGCTGAACTGTTTTGTCCCCGAGACCTGGGGCAAAAAAAACACCTTGACACCAAAGCCTGCAAAGGGTATGTGGAGGCCAAGAGTGGATAAATAACATCTTCTAACAACTAGAGCAAGAAAAAAATATGCAATCTGTACCCTTGGTTCAACTTCAGTTGTCCTAGGCTGTCCTAAAGAGAAACTGTCACCTAAGACCATGCACGCTACTTCCTGTCTGAAGAAATGCTGTAGCAACTTTCTTCCCTAGAGCTCTCGGTCCTCTCTGGATCTTCCCCACTAATGGTAAATTTAACCACCATAAAGAAAATGGCCTAGCATAGGGGTTAGTTTACTAAATGCAAATAGACTGTGTAGTTTGGAAATGCAGTTGCACTCATTTTCTCCAGAGCATAGTGAATGTGGCGAATGAAAAAAAAAAAAAAAAAAAAACAGCATTTTTGCTTGCACATGATAGGATGATGGAAATCAGTGCTTAGTCTATTTGCCTTTAGTAAATCCACCCATGCCATTTCAGCTTGTGTGTCTTGTGTGTTTACCCATTAAACTGTGAATGTTAAAATGTACTAAAAGAGAAGGACAAATTAATTGACTTATAGTAATTCAGCAATATAAACAGACATTATATAATGTAAAGAGCATCCAACGCAATGTA